ATGGAGGAAGTTGCATTCTGGAATCCTTCGCCCAATAAGGATGAGATCATTGAACGAACGGCGATAGTGCCCGATGTTGCCGTGCCTGCGCGATTTCAGCATGAAGTCACAATCCACCAGGGTCGCATTGAGAGGATCCTAGAAACGGATCTCTTGCGGTACTCAAAAAGGGGAGTGCAGCGGGATACTAAGCTCCTCGACGTGAAAATTGACGAGGATGGCGATTCTGAATTCCCAGTGGTGGCGGAGATTGAGACGGCAGGTCAACGACGAACGGTGCGCTCGAAGTATTTGGTTGGTGCGGACGGCGCCCATTCCGTGGTCCGTCGCTCTATGGGTCTGAACTTGGTGGGTGAGTCGCTAGATCACATCTGGGGCGTGGTCGATCTTGTTGTCGATACCGATTTTCCTGATATTAGAAGGCGCTGTGCCATCCATGCCCCAGCTACTTCAGTGATGGTAATCCCTCGAGAGCGGATTGCGACCGGTGACTACTTGACCCGGTTGTATGTCCAGGTGCCAGACGAGGCCACCCCAGACGAGGACCAGAGACCAGTGAATGAGTCTACACCAAAGGACACTCGAGCTCGCAGGAGCCAGGTCACTCTCGACGGGATTTTTCAAAATGCGGCCGAAGCCTTCAAACCGTACTATATCCGACCGAAGACGGACGGCGCCGTGGACTGGTGGGCGGCGTATCAGATTGGCCAGCGAGTGTCGGATCATTTCACAGTGAAAGATTCAAAGGGAGCCAATCGGGTTTTCATCGTAGGGGATGGTTAGTATATTCCTTCTAATTGGGGTGCAGCATGCTAACTCTCTTTCGTTGCCAGCTTGCCATACTCATAGTCCCAAGGTATGTATCTCCCAGTTGACAAATGCCAAGCTCCTGCATACTCACCTGTCATTTAGGCGGGCCAAGGGATGAATGTCTCCATGATGGACTCTTACAACCTAGCGTGGAAATTGGCATACGCAGTCAATGGTCTCACTCCCGCCTCGACATCGCCAGGAAAGCGTGACGCCGTTTTGGATACGTACCACACTGAGCGCCACACAATTGCCCAGGAACTGATAGAGTTCGACCGTGCCTTTTCGTCCATGTTCTCTGGAAAGATCGGCGCTGCAGAGGATGGCGCGGACGGCCTGACGCACGAACAATTCTTGGAAGTGTTTAGTACTGGCAATGGGTTCACCAGTGGCTGTGGAATTGAATATCCTGAGAGTCCGATCGTGCAGAAGATGCAGGATGCCAAGAAGAACCCCATTGAGGGGACTGACTATCTCTCTGGTATTCTTCGTCCAGGTCGGAGACTGTTAGATGTCAAATACCGAAGACATGCCGATGGAAACCGGCGGAACTTGCATGATGGTAAGTCCAAGTGTAGCAAAGCACGGGGAACAGCAAAACCCTTAAAAGCCGACAGGAGCTGACATGGGGCAGATTTCTTGTCAACTGGCCGATTCCGTATTCTTTGTCTCACGTCAAATGATTTGTTGTACCCGAAGGGTGTCTCTGCCCAGACATTGCGGACAATAGGGTCTGCAGTGCTGCCCCGGTTCTCTGCATCCGTGATTGAACAGGTTGTAATCCATCCCCGTCTGTCTCGGGAGTTCACTTGGCGTGATTTACCCGCCGAGCTCAAGCGACACTCGGAGATGAGCTTTTACAGTGGCTACGAGATGGACGACGTGTACAAGATTTACGGTGTAGATGCTGCCCAGGGAGCTTTGGCTGTTGTTCGACCAGATGGATATGTGGGCACGGTAGCCGCATTGGACGACGTAAAACGGGTGGAGCAGTATCTCGAGCGGTGTTTAAGAACCGTCCAGACCGCGATATGATGAGCGATAACCGAATGCACAAGGTCATTTTGGCTAGCAGAGACCCACAATCGGTGCTCCCAGAATCTCATCGGGCACGAGGACATGACAGCGGTCAATGAGGAGGCATTGGACGGGTAGGGACCGTAGGCGCATGGTGGAGCGCTTTGCCTTGAATCCAGGCCATCGGAGATCCGAAACGGTGCCTGATGGTCTTGTAGCCAGAGAGTAGCGTCGATAGATCGAATTACCAGCCCAGCCAGTGATAACTACTAGTTAACAACATACATCGTCACCCATACATACATCAAGGTTGTCCCCCATGCATAGCCGCGGAAGCGGAGTGTAGCCGGATAAAAATCCAGGACTGTATGAGTCAACTGTCTTGTCGGAGAAAAGCAAGTGATTGGCAGCAAACAAAGATAACCCGCAGGCCGCATACAAGCCAACAGTGGAACACGACGGTGTATCGGACGTCCGCACGCTGATCAGGCAGCTCAGCAGGGAATGTATCAGGTCAATCCAATCCTGCAGCCAAACTTGGCCAAAACATCCCAGAAAAGCGGCGGGGGCCGCCTCACGTGACACACGTGACGTGCCGGACAGCCGACAGCCGAGCCTCGAGCCAATCACGTTCTCTGGTCACATTCCATGCATGCAACGTTTGCAAACAGTGCAACACCTCTTCAAGTCGTTTCGCTTCCCGCCAACGGACAGGCAGTCACGGCCTCGTGCCAATCAAAATAACCCGAATGCATTGCTCACAGGGCAGATTGCCCGTTTCGATCATAATGACTCGGGCCATGCCGCTCCCGTGCACAAGTCATTGATAAGCGTGGAGCCGGACTGACTGGTGGACCGACATCAAGCTTCACCTGCTGGCCAATGATGGCTTCATCCAGTGCAAATTCTAGAAACACGACCCACTATCGGCGTTAACGGGGATTTAATCACCGTTCCTAGACTACAGCCATGGTTCAGTCAGGATGATATAATTAACCGGGCTGCCCCAGGCGCAGGTTTCAGTTCTCTTTTTACGGTGTTTTTGTCACAGTTTTGGCTTGGCTGGGAGCTTTGATTATAGCTTCCTTCTCTGCCTGAGGTTACTTTCTGTGGTTATGTCCAAAGAACATTCACTTTCGGATACCGGGTCCACCAGGTCGAGGTCTACGTCGCTGTCTAGCTCAGATGATGGGTCCTTGTCGGGCCGGCCTTACAGACTGGGGACATTGAGGACGCGAACGAGATCAGGGTCCAGACACAGTACAGCACAGGTGGAACGAGTGCATTCCGGAAGACATCTCGATGATCATTCTGTCTACCACAGCGATAATGAGCTGGATCTGGACTCATCGTCTGATGACAGAGGGGAAAAGGACGAGCCTGTCCTTGAAGTACGCGGGGGTGTGGTGAACGAACGTGACCGTGATCTGGAAGCTGGAACCCAGGCTGCAGCAGGCTTGGAAAAGTCACGGACTGCACGGTCGGACAAATCCAGAGCAGATCCTAAACTGGTATGTCTGGTTTCTTTGTTGTTACATCTAGCGCTAACAGGATAGGTTACTTGGGATGGCCCCGACGATCCAGAGAACCCCAAAAATTGGCCAATGAAGAAAAAGTGGGCAGCGGTGGTGACAGTATCCTGCTTCACGTTCATCTCGCCCGTGTCCTCTTCCATGGTGGCACCAGCCCTTAGTTCGATATCTAAAGACTTCAACATCACGGACGAGGTCATCTCACAGCTCACCCTGTCCGTGTTTATCCTGGCTTACGCTGTCGGGCCGCTCTTTCTCGGGCCGCTCTCCGAGATCTACGGTCGAGTGATTGTCCTACAGTTAGCCAATCTACTATATCTTGTCTTCAACATCGGCTGCGGCGTATCACAGACCAAAGTACAAATGATCGTCTGTCGATTCTTCGCCGGGTTAGGCGGTAGCGCTCCACTAGCAGTAAGCAACCCCTCTTACACTCCAAGACCCCCATCTAACAACCCAGATCGGTGGTGGCGTCCTCTCGGACTGCTTCAAGCCCGAACAGCGCGGCAAAAGCGTCGCTATCTACAGTCTGGCACCTCTCCTCGGCCCAGCCGTCGGACCCATCGCAGGCGGCTTCATCGCCGAAAACACAACCTGGCGATGGGTATTCTACGCGACCTCCATCGCCGACGGATTGATCCAAGTAGCCGGCCTCTTCTTCCTCCAAGAAACCTACGCCCCAATCATCCTCAAAAAGCGCGCCCAGAAACTCCGCAAAGAAACCAACGATACCAACTACCAAACCGAATTCGAGCGCCAAAACAAAACCTTCGGGCAGGTTATGCGCGCCGCACTCATTCGCCCCTTCCGCCTCCTCTCCACCCAACCCATCGTCCAAGCCCTCGCCGCCTACATGGCCTACATCTACGGCACAATGTACCTCGTGCTCTCGACCTTCCCCTCCCTCTGGACCAGCCCGGAATACTACAACGAATCCACCGGCATCGGCGGCCTGAACTACATCTCCCTCGGTCTGGGCTTCTGGCTCGGCTCTCAGATCTGCGCCCCGCTAAACGATCGTATCTACCGTCGTCTGAAAGGTAAAAACAACGGCATGGGGAAGCCCGAGTTCCGCGTCCCGCTGCTGTTCGTCGGCGCGTTTCTCATCCCCTCCGGCCTGTTCATCTACGGCTGGACAGCCCAGACACACTGCCACTGGATTGCTCCGAACATTGGTGCCTGCATGTACGGAATGGGCAATATCATCTCCTTCCAATGTCTGCAGACGTATATCGTCGACTCGTATACGCGGTTCGCCGCCAGCGCATTAGCAGCAGTGGCGTGTATGCGCTCGCTCGCGGGCTTCGGGTTCCCGTTATTCGCACCGTATATGTATCAAGCGCTGGACTATGGGTGGGGGAATAGTCTGCTGGCGTTTATTGCGATAGCGCTGGGGGTGCCGGCGCCGGTGTTTTTGTGGAAGTTTGGGGAGAAGTTACGCAAGATGAGTACATATGCGGCTGGTTGATACCCTAGTTGATTTATTACCAATACTACATATTCTGTAGACATAAAATCTGACTTTACTTTTGTTTCTTTTTATCCCCTCAAATATATATATACATATATGCATATCATCCAAAAATCACCCTCGTCGTATACAAGGGAATGCGGGGTGATGGAGGGGGGAATTAAAAAAAACGACAAGGACGTGATTCGAACACGCGCACCCGAAGGTATAAGATGTCGTCTGTTACAGAACAATCACCGTGTCTCAGGTAATCGTCCAATCCAGATTCAAGTCTTACGTCTTAAACCACTCGACCACCTTGCCGTCGTTCATTGCTGTTTGGTTTGAGTGGGGGTTATGGCCACTATCTTGGGGTTGAGGTGTGGGGTATTAGTCAGCGTTGTTTCATGGTTGAATTAATTATCTATCAGTGTAGTTGTTATTGACTCTTTTAACGTGAATAAATAATATAGAATGTATAACAAAAGAGGAGAATAATCGATTTCTAGATTTTTGGTGCAACCTTTAGATGAGGATGCTGCAGGTCAAAGTGTCTCTCTATCGTGATTTATAGTACATTCGGCCTACTAACCATCGAACTTCTCACTCGAAGAGAGTTAGCAGTCAAATTATTTCGGCTTTTCTTAATGATTAGCATATAACTTTAGACATGGCAGCTCATAAGATAGTCAGTAGAAGGGCGTTGTTTCATTTATTAACCAGTGTCATTTGACTGAATCAACTTTGGTAAACGAGTACTACTTTCGAGAAGGAGCTCGGTATGTGATAGGTCGGACAGGGGAGTGGCTGTTGTTCGAGCTTTTATTCTCCTTCTCATGGAGCGACCCCCAGTTACATCCTATTTATCTTGAGTAGTAGCTTAATGATGGATGGAGAATACCGTTGTTTTTGCTGATGGCTCTCTTTTCGGGAAATGTATGTTTTCATTGCACGGCTAGTAGTGGTATTTCCGGTGCACGGTAGATGCTGGGTGGCATGTTCTCTTTCAAGCTGTAGCTTGTTTTGTTATAAATATAATTAGAGAGCGCTTCTGGTATATCTGGACTCTGAGTGGAGCGTCCTATTGGTCTGAGATAATTTTGAGTGTTGCAGATGACTCCATGTCAGCGGCATTCCAAGGCGATCAGTACTACTACGTCTAATGCTGGATTCGTTATGGGTAGCCTCATATAAGTATAGGTTGCCCAATAGCAATGACAACTCCTCGGTTTCTCAGCATTCTAATCAAGCAATACAGATCACAACATTAAACCTTTGTCCAACTCAACGAAGGTAGCACCACCTCTCAGTCCTAATCATACCTCCAAACGAGGCCCATACTCTCCTTGATCTCATCATTTCCCCACACCCAATCCTTCTCCTTCTCCTTCTCCGGATCCGGCTCCCTCAGAAAAACCTCCCGAAAAGTCAACACAAAAGGGCCTCCCCGCACAACCAACCCCATCTCACCCCCATCCCCATCCTCCTCCTCTACCTTCCTCACCTCCACCCGCTGCTCCATCCTCACCCCCTCCTCACCCACCACCCACTTCTCAATCCCCAATCCCTCCTTATCCACATCCATCAACACCACCGCCTTCACATCCCCCTTACTCCACTCCAACCACAACCTCGCCTCCCCCCTCAAATACTCCCTCCCCTCGGGCCACCCAACATGAAACACCAGACTCGGCCATTTCCTACTCCGCCCCGAGGGCTGCCAACTCAAATCCGGTTCTTTCACAACATCTCCATCTGCCACTGTCGCAGAACCATGTGGCACGAGGGCCCAACGGCCCATGCCATATCTGAACATCAGAAACTCGCTATTAAAGATCTCCTTGGCTAGTTCCTGTCGACGAGGGTGGCCTTTCATGATTAGCGTGCGGGAGGGGTAGTCGTAGGTGATGAGGGCTTTGGTTTGCACGAAGCGGTCTTGTTCGAGGGATTGGGTGATGAGGGTCGGGGGCACGTTGGTGATGTGCAGGTAGGGTGTTTTGTTGGGGTCGGTGTCGTAGTAGAGGCGGCGTAGGCGGGTCGGGCTGTGGTAGGCGTGGGTGGTGCAGAGTGTGCTGGGGGGGATGTTGGGGGGATCATGTCGAGGGACGGGGTTCGGGGTGGAGGACATTTTGGTTTGTTGTATCTGTAGATCTAGGCTGTGTGTGTGTGTGTGTGTGTGTGTGTGTGTGTGTGTGTGTGGGTGATGAATAGATTGGGGTCCTGCGTTGTGTGATGATGACGATTAGTAGGCTGGCTTTATATTTCACTGTAATGTCATGCCAGGTCATAGACGGAGGGGGGTTCCGGGATCAAGGTGGGGGATACTGTACATCGCCGAACATGTCGAGTTTTCTTTTCCTGAATAAGAGTGCATTAATTTTTACTGACCTAACCAGCCTGGGATAGTATGAGGAGATCGTTGAGGAAGATGCAATCAAGGCAGACGATGATTCTGGGCACATTGAGTTAAAAAGAGAAAATGATGCTAATCTATGGATGAGGGATATGAGGAAAGACGAAACCCAAGGCAGCAAACAGCAAGATAAGCAGAAGAATCAGGTAACGAGCATCTTCGTACAATTGGTAGAGACTACATCAAATAGATAAATTTCATATTTCGTCCAACAAATCGGATTTGACCAATGATTCATATCAGTACTCTAAAGACCACTCAATCCATCTTCAACTCCAATTCAGATTCAATAAACGAACGACTAAGTTCAATATTATTTCCTCGCTATCCTACATCTGCAACAACCAAGTACAAACAAACACCCTACAATCAACTCAAAACTTAAGCAGAAGAGCTAGGGGCGGCGCTGCCACTAGGGGGAGAGCCACCGCCACCGCCCATACCAGAGCTAGAGGAGTCGTTCTCCACACCCCCATCAGCAGTGTACTCCGCAGCAGGGGTAATCTCGCTGTTCTCAGAGACATCCACACCCAGGGAGATCCATCCGAAGACACCATCGCTCACATCATCACCGAGGAGGACGTACTCAACAAAGGGGTCAATGGTGTCGGCCTCCTCGGAGAGGATGCTGTCGTCAGCGTTCTCGGTCAGGTCCTGGGTGTTGGTGCTGTAGGGGCTGGTGGCCTCGACCTTGCTGATCAAGTCCTGGTCGAAGAAGAGCTGGCCGACGTAGTTGGCGTGGGAGGTGTAGAGACCAGAGATGGTGTTGTTAGGGAGAGCGGTAGTCTCGTTGGGGGAGTGGGAGAGGACTATTTGTTGAGTTAGTATAAGGGGAGTTTCGTAGGGGAGGAATGGGACGTACCGTGGATGTGAGTAGCACGGCTAGTGTAGTGGCCGGGGAAGATGGAGCTGAATTGCACGACACCGTCGGAGTCGGTCTGCTGGATACCGCGGAGGAAGGTCGCGTCCAGGTTGGAGGTATCGCTGGAGTCACCGTTGCCGGAGGCAGTCACGCCAGAGTAGACACCCTATACATATCGTCAGTATGTGGTGCAGAAAGTTGAGTATTAGTGGCAATTGGCTTACAGTAGCGTTGCAGTGCCAGATGTCAATGTAAATGTCTGGGACTGGCTCGCAGGTGCTGGTGTCAATGAGCTGGATGTCCAGGTAGAGGGGCACACCCTCCTGGGTCTCGGTGATGTCGTTGCGGATGAGCTCGCCAGTCACATCTGGTCTGATTAGCTACATGAAACCCCGTAGAGAGAAGATAGTCATACAGTAAGGACCCTGGGTGACATCCGGGCCAAGAACGCAGGTGGCGTTGGAGGCAAAGAGGACGTTGGGGTCGGTCTCGGGGCTCACGTCCAGGGACGAGTGGTGGGTGGTGTTGAGGATGGTGTCGAGGTCGCGAGCCTTGAGAAGGGGAGCGTCTGTATCTTAATTAGTCTGAGTCAATCTTGAGCGGTAGGGTGAGGACCATACGGGTCTGCAGGCCCCTCTTCTGGCGAATGGCATTCACAGCGCTCTCGCGGCGAGCAATGCTCTGCCTCTCAAGGCCACGGGCCTTCAGCTTCGCAGAGCAGTCACTCAGACCACGAGGAGCACGCTTCATGAAGGCAGCCCGCTCAGCAGCTTCGGCACGGATATCGTGGCCGGGATGGGCGGAGACGACGCTGGCAAGGCCAGCCAGGCCGGTAAGGAGCGTGTTAAGCTGGACCATTTTGATGGATATCAACTGGAAAAGAAGGTAAGAGAATGGAGGCAGTAAATGAGCGCTGGTGAGGATGTTGTTGGATGCTAATGAGATCTATCCGCCGGGAACAGAGCGCTTTATATCTTTTTTTTCGAGAACATCATCACCATCGAAATGATACTATCCAGCTGACGCAACCAAGGGACCAGACTGCCAAATGAAACGCCGGCAATTGTTCAGCTGTCGCCAAGGGCTTGGAGGGCTTCGAATTGCTTCATCGTGCTGGGGCCAGACCTTTGATAGGTAGGGCACGATCCCCCATGACGACGCGGCCCGACATCCACTTGTGGAGAAGGGGTTGCTGAATTATGGCTAAGTTGTGACAGACCTATGCATGAATGGGCGTCTTTTCAGGTCCGCAGCGTTTTCGGTTTAGCTCAGGGTAGTCCAGGGTAACCCATCTCGATAATAGGGACCTGTATGGGTCTTAAGAAGCTTCTAGCTTCGCTAGCTAGATATTCTCTAGCCAGAAAGGTAGCCCTCCAGACTAATGACAAGTGACCACAGCATCACATACCTACCAAGCAAAAGCAGGTCAGCCCTTCTCATTCCCAGCGTATCCCCCAAGTCAGTCTTCACAAGATTTTGGAGAGAACAGTGAATACTTCGGCCAGTCGTCAGTCAACAGCAAAGTATGCTCCAGCAAGATCTAACTTCAACATCCTCGCTACCGAGCCACGATTCAGGCTGATCGTCGTCTCCACCAAGTGGATGTGCCGCTTAATCATCCAGTTTGAGGAGGCTTGGCACCACTGCGGCAATTGGATGTCCGAAGTATCCGAAGCTTGTCGTCCTATTATTCAATCTCCTTGCTGCAAGAATAGTCCACGGGGTGCTCAATGATTCATATGCCGCCGGACTTGGCAACCAGGAGCAAACAAGGAGTTGTCGACACACATGCAGTTTCACGGCCCGAGGACCTCAAAAGCGGCTGTTATTGGCCGATTTAATCCTATCGGGTCATTTCATGCACTGGTCAGTCAAAATATCCGTGATCCGAACGGAGAGTATCCGGAGGACTGTGGCGCGGATTGACAGGGCCGAGGTTGAACCGTTCGAGGAATAATTTCCTTCCACAAGCAGAGCAACTGGCCGTGCGTCGATGTGTAGATCAAGAGTATAGTAAACGCGGGATAAAGACCACACCCTACCACGTAA